TTTTTTCCGCAACAAGTTAAGCGATAATACAGATTAGGAAAATTCACAGATATAAATCCATAAAACTTTTAAATGCGGTAAAATAAAAACGCATTCAGCATTTATTAAAGTATATTTCACTGCGTGTCCTAATTCCCCATCCATAAAACTCGATAACCACCGTTTTCGTAGGAAAACATGCAGGTTGTAAGGATTAAGGAGTGGGGCTACACAAGCTACTGTTGCCGTTCATTTATATGTTTTAACCAGAAAAACTACCGAAAGCGGAAATATTTCCGAACCGTGGATGAAAGAAATTTCACGCTAATTAGTCCCATGCGCCACTTTTTAAACAAGGACACCTTTTTACTGCATTTTCCATGACAGCTGTTAACATGTCTGACTACGGTGGGTGTACCTCTTACTGAATGTTGTCTTCACGTACCGGAATCAAGTCCGGCTTACAGCAGACCCTTCAAAAAGCCCAAAAAAGAAGTTTGAAAGATGTCAAATCGTTCGTCTCCCACGTCATAGACATGACGCGTGCATACTGTCTGCGTCAGAATAGCGGAGGGACGATATTCATAATACAAATAAATGATTATCAGCCGGTACTTCATTACAATAAATTTCCAGAGGAAAAATGTTCAGAAAATGAGACAAAAAATAGCAAAAGATGAATTAGTGGACAGTTTTTTTCGATTTTTTTAAACTGGCAAGGTGACTTATAGTTGATCGGACGACATTTCAGCGTGACCGAATGCTTCATCTTATGAGAAGATAAAGAAGCATTACTTTGTATTAACACACGCAGGGAGGATAATTTTCGGTAACTCTTAGGTAACAGGTGTAAAAGTAAGTAAAGTCGCACCGGCGCATAATTCATGCACCAGAAGGCAAACAAAATTCCGGAGCGGTACAAAGCATTGCAACACTTACGAGAAAGTACAGAAGGGATATAAACATTCACCCTCCCCAGCCCCCCTTCCTTCCGATCGTGCATACACATTTCCACACGCAGAGTTGACTCTGTCGCCCGCCCCAAGATTTTACGCTTGCTTAAGGCTACGTGCCTTGGAGAGATCGGCTCAGATAACTGCAAAGGAAGTTCAATCTCCACTTGAAATCACTCAGACAACAGCACTTAAAGCATTCGGAGAGCAATACGGAGGATGCCGCGCGGACTTCTCAAACGTTTTGCCTCCTCCGAAAATAGAAAACGGGTTGAGCAAATCGAACACATGATAAACTGGCTGTCAATTGCTTTCCATGGAATTTGCTGATGGAAATTGAGATGATCCATTGTGGAAAAATAAAAATAAACAGTATATTTTATTTATTCGACTAACCTATGCTGGAAAGTGTCCTTTTTGCGCGCAGAATATGTTCGTGCACAGTCTTATCACCAAATGTTTATAGACTTGAGTGGAAGTCTACGTTACCTCGTATTTCGACATCAAAAATGTTATCCCTAGTTTTCAGGGAAGTAAAAAAGCCGATAAAAAGCCGCAGATTTTACCCTGAAAGGAAAAAGTATGTAGGCATCCCTCAGCGAAATACCTAATTAAAAGGCCATTCAACGGGGGTAACTTACTGGAAAAAGTATTTCAAATTATCTAAGACATATTCAGTGCCAATTTTTGTTGTGGGCGTTCACTTTTTTGGCGACGTGGTCTCATACTGGAGGGAGTCCACAGGGATGATCTAAACGGTCACTTCTGTCAGAAATTAGGTCTAAGAACTCACAAATTATTAAATGCTCTTAAGAAATATTTTACTTTGAAGGTTTTCGTAAACATATAGAACAGAATTTACATTTATGAGTGATTCATTTCAAAACGAAAAATCGTATTCGCCGCTATGTCAAGGAAGAGTTGAAACTCGTAATCCAAAACCAAAAGATACCTATCAAGAAAGTTGACGGAAGGAAAGTAATCTTAGTATAGATAAAACGGTGCATTTACGATTGCATTTGACAAGTCTACTTAAAATCAATAGCCAGTTGTCAGTCTGCTAACGGGTGCCTATCGAAAGCTTTCTTCTTGAGACGCGCCTATCGACGAAATCAAGTAAACACGTGTTTGTTGTAGACAAATTCATCTTAAACAATGTAGAAAAAAGGAAACACAGCCAATTCGTGTGAAACTGTGTTGTAATCTATACTCAAAGTGTAGGCTGTTCGCGAAAAGTCACGCTTTACGCGAAAACTATTCTTGAAGGATATTCAAATGCAACTTTCGCTAAGGGACTATTTTCAAACACTATACTGCTTGTGTTTACTCGGTGTTTTATAGGGACTGCTTTCTGAACGTTTAAAACTTGTTCACTGAACTTCAGCGACTTTTAACGTTTTCCTAAATCTCCGCTCTTCTAAAATTTGGTATTCTTGAACAAAGTAACATAAATTTAGTACATTTGTGCCAGTTTGGGAGTGGTCGGCATTGGTTCGTAAATTTCGGCACATTTCATTATGTAGCAAACGCACTGGATATTGCAGTATCCTTCAAAACTAAGAGACTAGCTCCGAAACTTTGCTGCACGAAAGTTAAGAAAGGAAAACAATAGGAGCATGAGTACGGTATTGTTTAGGCAACCGACAAGAGCAAACTACGCACTTTCTCCCGGAATCGCAAAATTAACATCGCAGCAGCATTTTTAAAACGGC